TCTAGACTAGAAGATTCTAGGCCTTAGTAATAAGACAATCTAGAATAAGGGCTAGAATCTGAAAGAACCTGTAGGAATAAGTTCTTAGTAATAGAAGAGGTCTAGAAGAGTCTAGAATAGTCTAGACTTATTCTTAGGCCTCTAACACTATATGTTAGCGGTATTCTATAAAGATAAGTAATATCTTTATTATATACCGTATAGTAGATGGTTTATAGTAGAGAATGTAGTAGATTCTTTACTATAAGAGAACTTCCTTAAAGGACTAACTAGTAGGCTACCTAAGGGTGTTTATATAGAAGAACCTATAGATTCTAGAGAGTTCTATCTCTAGGTAATTAGTAATAGGTTCTTCTATTAATAGAAGACGATTTCTAATCAATCTAGACTAGAAGATTCTAGGCCTTAGTAATAAGACAATCTAGAATAAGGGCTAGAATCTAAAAGAACCCGTAGGAATAAGTTCTTAGTAATAGAAGAGGTCTAGAAGAGTCTAGAATAGTCTAGACTTATTCTTAGGCCTCTAACACTATAGAAAAGCACGACTATAACTACTATATAAAGAGAGGCACGAAATATACCTATATAGTATTAAAGTATAGTAACTATAATAGCACTTATTACTCCTAGGACCTAAACTATCCCTATTATCTAATAAAGCTATCCCCCTAGTATAAATGTTAGGTTACCCTAAAATTATACTATTAGGGATAGTACTAGAACGCTATAGTAGAGCGTATATATAATCTATCTTACCTACTACCCTATACTATATTTACTTTTCTATATACGCCTTCTTCCTACTCCCCTTCCTTTTATTACTCTTACTTTATACTACCTATCTACTTAGATAATAGTAGGAAGGCTAGTTCTTAGCCCCCCCTTACCTAAAAAGAGCCTAGATAAACTATCTATCTATAATAACCCTATACTAATACTATACTAAGAATTATATAGAGATAGTAGCTAAATGTAGCATCCTATAGGTAATACCTAGATAGTAATAAAAACTATAGTAGTCCCTACTCCTTATAGCCCTAAGGATAACCGCTATATAAGTAAGGTATAGGGCACGTTAGGACTAAGTCGTATATATATAAGCATAGAATATATATAACATAGCTATTAAGTAGGTAAAATAAGAGCACTAGAATAACTTCCTTATAAAAGAAACACCCTAGTCTATCTATAAGGTAATAGCGTACACGAAATTAACCCGATCTAAGCGGATCCCCTAGATATATAACCTTTAAGATTAACTCTAATCATTATATAATAGTAAGTATACCGCCTTCTATTAGAAACTCTTCCCCCTACCGCTATACGTCCCCCTACATGAATAGATAAACTATAAGGAAGGGCTATAGGACTAGCCCTCCCTTATAGATAAGGAAGTATAGTATGCCTACTCTTATAAGATTAAAGGCACTACCTCTAGGCTAGACTAGATCTACTAAAGGATGATTACTAAGGCATATAATGCTTCTCCTAGAAAATTTACCTAGGTATACCGAACCTTCTTTACGTATAGATACTACCTAGAATGCTAGAGAGAAGCGGTAGGAGTAATACCTAAGAAACTAGGAAAACCTAATTATATAGACCTAAAAGCGTATAGAGTTATCTCCCTACTTAACTACCTAGGAAAAGTTCTTAAACGCATTATAGTAAAATATCTTAGAGTACTTATAGAAGCTACCTACCTTCTATACCTATCCTAAATAGGCGGATAACTATAGAAGTTAGTAATTAATGTAGTAATAATCCTTATATATATTATCTAGGATGAGAGGAGGGTATAGCGTAAGATATTAACCCTATTCCTTAACATATAAGGCGCCTTTAATTATGTAGCCTATAACTAGCTCTTATATATAATAGGGGAAATTAGGCTCCCTACTTCCCTTCTAGTATAGGTAAAGACATTTACTAGTAGTTAATAACTCTAGATCTCCTTTAATAGCTAATAAGAAGACCTTTATCTAATAGTTTTAGGAATCCCTTAAGGAAGCCTAGTCTCCCTAATCCTATTTCTTATCTATATACGAAAGCTCTTTTCCTCTTACTTAGTAAGATTCCTCTTATATATTAATGATGTTTTAATTATAATCTCCTTAATAAGTTAGAAGAAAAATATATAGATCCTCTAGTAGGAAGTAACCTAGCTCTTCTTACTTAGAACCTAGTATGCTATTAACTTTAATAAAGATAAAATAGACCTTATCTATTTTATAAGCTTAGATAAGGCTAAGGTAGCTATAATTATGCTCCTAGGAGATTATATAGTAAAACTAAAGTAACTTATCTAATAGCTTAGGATATAGTTTAATATATACCTATTATTCTAGTAGTATATAATAATTTAAAATGCCTAAGTAAAGTAATTACTAGTATAACTTATATAGCTAGCTAACATATAATATAGACTATCCCCTACTACTATCTAATAGCTATACCTTACTTATATATAAAGTGTAGTAGATTATAGGTCCCTAGTTTTCTAGTAAGTTAGTAGCTCTAAGATACTTAGATGAACACTTTAAAATAGTAGACTATACTAAATCCTAGGAGCCTTTTATACCTCCCTAATTATTCCTATAGAAATTAAAGTAGGCCTTCTCCCCCCCTACCTTAGGAGGAATATATTACTTTAAGCGTACGCTATAAGACTCTTTAAACTTAGTTACTAACACCTAGTACGTATAATTATTAATAAGTTTAAACTAGAGAGTATACTAGGATGCTAGACATAACTTAAACATGTCTAGAATATAATTTTAGACCTAGTAATAGGTACTAAAAGCCTAATTAAGCATGGTTCCTTTCCCCTATAGAAAAAGACTATACTATATAAAGTTAAGATTAGCTACCTCTAAAAGGAATAAGAAGCCTAAGTACATGTTAGATATATAGGATATATAACTTAAGTAGTCATCCTATATTCTAACACTTCATCTATCCTAAAAGGAAATAGAGTAGGTATAGGGATTATAGTATATAACACCTAATAAGATAGATTAAGAGTAGTAGTAAGATATAGAGTAAATACTAGACTATACTAGCTTATATATAATAGAGAACTAGAGGTACTTATAAGGGCTATAGAGCTAGCTGCCTAGAAATAGCCTAGGTAATAGATTATAGTATATATAGATAACTAAGCTATACTATACTACCTCTAAACCCCGTCTAACCTACTAGGTTAAGGTCTATAACTTTAAGCTATAGATATAGGCTACTTAATTATAGCTAGATAAGGTAGTCTTACCTTCTTATAGGCCCTAGGCTATATAGGGATTAGAGGAAACCTATAAGTAGATACCCTTATAAAGGAGGCTACTAGGCTAACCCTAGAGAATAACTACTTAAGTACTACCCTCCTTAGGATATACGTACGATAAAGAACTATAGTAGAATAGATAATATATACTATATAATACTAGGAAGCATAGATACTACCATCCTAGGGGTTATATATACGTAACTTCCTACCTATACTAAGGACGTCTATCTAACTCCCTAAGTATAGATAACTAGAAGTATTAGCCTACTTCTAATTAAAACTAAACTATAGCTACTTTAGAGCCTACCTAGTATAGTTTAGTAAGATAGACTAGGATAATTATAGCTATAATAATACCGCCTAATAAATACTATAACACCTTATTAGTAACTACCTACTCTATAGCTCTACTAGGAGAGAAGCTATATAGGTAGTATATAAGGCGTATAATAATAATAGTAGGAAAATAGCCTCTATATCCTATAGAGAGCTGTTCTAAGGAGATGTTAGTAGATAATTCATACTTAAATTCATATATTAGATGAAGGTTTCTACTAGGGTATAGTATATATAAATAGTAGACTAAGGGAAAAAAGAAGAGTAAAAAGAAGAGGAGAGAATCTATTCTAATCTCTACTAGTAGAGTAAATAATAAGCTCTATAATCCCTCTACTTATAGTTCCTATAGGCACTACCCTAGAACCCCTCTAACTAAAGATAATTAAGGAAAGGACCCCTTTATCTATAATCTACCTAATACCCTCTAGGCTTATACCCCTCCTCTACCTTATATAGAGCCTCTACTAAGACCCTAGCCCTCTAGATTAGGAAGGCGTTAATATAGCTTAGATAACTACTCTATAACTACTCTAGCTAAATCCTCCTACTCCTAATAATAATTAGATAACTATTTAGTAGTAAGGTAAGGGCTTAACGCTATTCATCTATATAGTATACCTAGGCTAGGGCGGCATATAGAGCTCTATTATTAGTAATAATATTAACGTATAGTTATCTAATAGTGGTAATAGGGCTAGATTAAATTATAAGTAACATTAATATAGATTAAACCTAGGTTCTTTAGTATTATTTATTTTCTATAATAAGTGTTAGCTAACTATACTAGTTAGCTAGAAGATATATACTACTAGTTAAAAACCTTACCCGCCTTTTTCACCTTTATAGATACTAAGAAAGGTGTTATATAACGCTAACTAAAAAATAGTACTATTAGAAATAGTACTAGAACGCTATAGTAGAGTATATATATAATCTACCTTACCTACTACCCTATACTATATTTACTTTTCTATATATACCTTCTTTCTATCCCTCTTCCTTTCCTTACTCTTACTTCATGCTACCTATCTACTTAGATAATAGTAGGAAGGCTAGTTCTTAGCCCCCCCTTACCTAAAAAGAGCCTAGATAAACTATCTATCTATAATAACCCTATACTAATATTATACTAAGAATTATACTTTATTATATAAGATTCTTTAGCTAGGTATCCCTACTTACCTTATAAATATATATAGTATCCCCTATAGATAGCTCCGTCTTAGATAGCCTATAGCTCTAGTAAGACGTAAAATAATTAATTAATTAATTAATTAATTAATTAATCAATCAATCAATCAATCAATCAATCAATCGTCGTCACGTGATTAGTTCTACAATTTATATTAAAGGTAGTTGTACACAATGTTGGAAAATAGGTCGCTTAGCTCAGTTGGTTAGAGCGTGGTGCTAATATGGCGGCATTCATAGAGTGCCTATGCCTAGTTAACGCCAAGGTCGCGAGTTCGACCCTCGTAGTGACCATCCTGTTGTTCTTTTTGCACTCGAGTGGTTTTTTTTCGCCATTTCAGCATCGCACAGGAGGAGCGCTCTGTTCTGGCATCTTTCACTCGGTGGGATAAAGGACTTGTCAAGAGACGTGGCGTACTGGCTCTACAAGGACGCGTGCTGCTTCCGTTCGTCGACTAACGGCCACATCTCACTTTTCTCCACAGCGAACTGCGCTTGTCTCGACAACACCCTTTGAAGAGCTTGGAAGATTGTTGGGACTGTTCCGAGTAGATCGCGGAGCAACAGATTGCTTGTCGAATCTTTGAGTAGCGTCTCAGGTTTTGCAGTTCGGAGCCAATATGGTGCTGGTTGTAAGTGTGTGTTCCAGATCTCCCCAATTGCTCTGTCAGAGTTTCTCCTGCCTCTTTTCCGTCGACTTTGGTTTCGTTCGATCCATATCGTCTCGCAGCTTGAGTCAAACCAGGTCCTGAGGATTGAAGATGATCCAAGGCCAATGCTTTCGCTGCAGTCCATAAACTGGAATGGAAATTCCCACGCCATCAAGTCGATGATGCTGCTTTGCTCAACGTGTTCCAGACCAAGCTAAAGTTGACTTTGAATGGGCGTCATTTGTACTCTGATGATTTTCTGACGATGGCCCCAGGCAGTCGGTCAAATATGCTCCATGACGAGCATGGTGCACAATCTTAACCAATGCCGCACCCTCGTTGCCAAAGCGGCATCGCTTGGAGCAAAGGTACTCTCCCTCATTTCTGTACCCTTAAACCCCCAAAACGTCCCCCGCATACCATTTTCAAACAAAGGCCAACTCCGCCAGGCGCTCTTCTTGCCCGAAGCATCAGACTATATCGCCTCATCTCCCGCCGAATCCATAGCCCTGGCAAAGCCGATCACGACATCTCCCTTCGTTCTGGGATTGCAAGAAGCCGCCCGCGCGCACAAGCTCCCCATCCACGTCGGAATACATGAGCCGGCCGAGGAGCAAGGCAGCCAGGGAGAGAAGCAGAAGAAGAGACTCAAGAACACGGTGGTATGGATTGACGAGGAGGGCGTCGTCGGCCACCGCTATCAGAAACTGCACTTGTTTGACGTCGAGATTGACGGTGGGCCGATCTTGAAGGAGAGCGAGTGAGTGTGCCACTGTGGGAAGCCATCTCGCCGCTGCAGCTAACGCAGCCTCAGGAGCGTCCAGCCGGGAACAGAGATCTTGCCGCCATTCGAGACAGCTGTTGGCAGGGTTGGCGCAACCATCTGCTTTGACGTACGTCCAAAGCCTCTTACCATCTTTACCCTGAGTATCCATTCCTGCAATCCGCAGAAGCTCACCACAGACCTGTTAAAAATCACAGCTCCGCTTCCCCGAAATCAGTATCGCGCTGAAGCGGCAAAACGCGCAAATCATCACCTACCCGTCCGCCTTCACCGTGCCGACGGGCCGCGCGCACTGGTCGGCGCTGCTGCGCGCCCGCGCCATCGAGACGCAGGCGTACGTCGTGGCGGCGGCGCAGGCCGGCTTCCACAACGAGAAGCGCTGCAGCTACGGCCACAGCATGATTGTGTCGCCCTGGGGAGAGGTGCTGGCCGAGCTGGGCGGCGTTGATGTCACAGAGGGGAAGCAGGGGTATCGACCGGAGCCGGAACTTGCGACTGCGGAGGTGGATTTGGAGGTTTGGAAGAGGATTAGGAGGGAGATGCCGTTGCTGAGGAGGACGGACGTGTACCCTGAGGTGTAAATCACGACCTTGCCCGAGCGCGATCAACGAATGTAAGATGAAAAGAACCGGTAGCCAAGCTGAAAGAGGGATCGCTGCACTACCTACAATGATGATAGAGCATGATTCAAGGCGTATTCCCCCTTTCCCACGCGCCTTCACTACTTGCACTCCCAAGCCAAAACGTCCCTGGCGCCAATTCCAAGCATGGTGTACACGTCCTGCCGAAAACCTGCCACACTGAGCGCCATCCAGCGCTCTCCCACCTCCTCGCGCACCGCGAGCCACAGCCGCAGCAGGAACGGAGCAGGGACGAGGCCGCGCCACCTCAGCCGCACGATGGCCTCGACGGCCGGGCTATCCGCATCGCCGTCTCTCTTGTACGGCATGGGCACCTCGTAGCGGCTTAGGAACGAGTCGACGCTGTCGTGTGCGTCGATACGCGGCGAGCTTAGGCTGACCATGCCGAACCACTCGAGCACTTCGGCGCCGTACTCTGCGTCGCAGAGATCCGGGATCGAGGTCAGGGCTGGCAGCTTGGTGTGTGGCATGACGGTTGCCTCGGGACTGGAGGTGAAGCAATGGGGTTGGTGTGTATTTATCGGGCCTGCCATCCGTCAGACACAAGTCTGATGGTCAGTATTTCAGAGAAGACTCACCTCTGACTTCGCGCGGGAAGTTGAGATCATGGAAAAGCCAGGCCAGAGAGTGGTTCAAAACATTCTTGAATGCCCAGACGATACGCTCAAAGCCCTTCTTCCCGTGAAGCATCGAGGATTTGCGGAGCTCGAGTTCAACCGCTGCATACGTTAGCTCAAGCTCGATGGGTTAATTCCGTCTGGTGTGCCTACCATATCGCTCCTTTGTATGCTTTCTTCCAGGGTGGCGCACTGGCTTGCCCTCCAGACCGCACCTCTCGTAGGTCGGTCGATCAAGATCGAGCCTTAGGACACCTGAGATGCAAGTCAGAATACAGACTCAAGAAAGGCAAGTCGGCAACGATTATTCTGCCCGCCGGAAAAACGCACCTTCGCGAAGGGAGAATGTGTTGTCAACACCACGGCGTCCTTCGGAGATCATGAGAACATTGCCTGGAGCGCTATCAGATTAAGCCATTAAGAGATAAGCGAAGGAATCGCACCAGTCTTGATGTAGTCGTTGAAGAAGTCGCCCTCGACGATTTCGCCAAGAGACATGTACACGCGGGCATACTGAAAGGATCCAACATTGCCGTCGAGCTGCTGCTTGACTGCTTCGTGTACCTCTCGAGGCAGTATCAGGTCGGCCTGGGCAAAAGGTCAGCGCGGTTCGTACGCCGACGCGCGTGGCACACTTGCCGTGTGAGCAAACGGCAGCTCGGTTATGGTCGCGAAAGGTTTTTTCTTCGTCGGTGGGTGCCGCTCGTCTATGTGCTCAGGCAATACGCTGTGGGTGAAGATGCATTTTGACGCTGGTCCGTTCTCATTTCCAATGCTAAACATTTCTGGGACTTGATGGTGTTGCCATCCGAGTCGTCGGGTGTTGGGAGTCGTCAAATCTGCTTGGAAAGTAGTGGCCGGGCCTAGGCCGCATGTCACTCTGGGGTCACTCAAATCGCTGGCGCAAGGCTTGACGTGATAAATGCGTAGTTAAAGGTTTGCTTTCTAATTTTCTGCTCGATTCAAAAAGAAGCAAAGAATGGCGGAATTGCTTCTTGTCAAAGGTTCTCAAGACCGAGCAATATCTGCTGTCAAGAGGAAGATACTCCAAAAACGCCAGCGCTATGCCCAATACCCCACCACACATGTTTAACTCCATAATCCGTTGAAATGACAGTCCAAAGTGACGCCAGAGCTTCAAGGAAGAGCCAAAATCACAGGCGCTTGAGACCCTGCCGTGGGCCAAACGCACCGCGATTGTATCTCTTCAAGCAATAACCAGCAGCCTTGAATCTGCGACTTTCATGCCTGACTCTCCTCTCCGCATCTGGTGAAAGCTTCTCTTTCGTAGCTTTGTCAGGCGACCATCCAAATGATAGGGTGTTGAGGCGGGTATTCAAAGAACCGTTCGAAGATGAGCTGGCGATGGAGTGCTGTGGGCTAGCTGAAGACTGCTGAGATCTTTGGGGCTGGGGAGTCTGGTACGAGGACTGCAGCTTCAGGTGACTCCGGCGCAATGCACGAACTGGAGGACTCCTTGGTGCCGAGGCAGTAGCCTGGCTGTTGCCGTTCAAAGGCGTGTTTGGCAGCTGTGCCCCCGAAGAATCAAGACCAAGGGACTCGGTCGAAGGAGGGCCCATGGCTGTTCCGTACAGACCTTGCGTTGAGGTTGAGATCGTGGGCGCCGGTATCCAATCTTCAGACTCTCTCCTTGCCCCCCAATTCTCCTCCTGTTCAGCTAGGGTCTTTCCTGTGGCGATTACCTTTGCCTTCCTCGCGCTAGCCCTTGTGACGCTACCGATTCCCTCATTCATTTTGCTTTTGCCTTTTGGTCTCTCCATCGCCCTGTCCACTTCTTTTTCCTTCTCCGGTGGCTTTTCTTCACCCCTTGCCTTGGCTTTGTCTACACTTTGCTTGAGGTCCCTTGGGATCTGGGCGTGTATCGAGACCATCAACTTTGCCCTCTTGAAGAAAGCCTCCCAGTCATCTTGAAGCAACGCGCCAGCCTCTGCATTCAATGCCGATGCCGGATTCGGCTGGATCAACAAGCAAGATATCGTGATGAGAATGTCTTTTAGAGTCAAAGTTGATTGCCAGTCCCGCTTCAACGTGTCGACGCAAACGGCGCCCGTCGCCTCTTCCACATTCGGATGCCATATCCTCGTCCGGAAATGTGCAGTGGGTGGTGCAGCTGGGTAGGTCTTTGGAATTTCAAGGTGGAGCTTGAATACGCCGGCAGCGTACGGTGTGCCCTCGGGGCCGGCGAGGAGGATGTCCAAGTGGGTCAGGTCGTCGCTGTCAGAGTTTGCCGGAAAGAGGTAGTTTGGCGGTAGTTCGGAATGAAGGGCTGCGTGGTCGGCAGCTAGCCGGCGCAGGGACTTGAAGCTCTTTTTTGGGGTCTCTTAGCCTCAGCTCTGTGGTGCATGTCTGTCATGCGTTGGGAGTCTCGTACCATTTGAAAGGTTCGTCGCAAATGTATCAGCGGCAGAAGGAGAGGTTAGGAAGAGAAAAGGAACATGAACGGGTTCAAGGTTGACAAGACGTTAATTTGACGCATCCGTACAGGCTGCGACGACATTGTTTTGATGATCTCACCTCGGCCTTGCCGCAAGCGAGTCGCGTTGGCATGCACAACACCCGAACTTTAACCGCTTTGGGGAAG